CGGCTCTGAATCTTGTGGAGCAGCCTGTGTCTGTGGGAAGCTCGGACCCCCTCCCCCAAACAAGGGCTGCTGCTACCCTGTGTTGCTGTCTCTATCAGAGACTGCAGCACAGGGTGGGTAGGCAGGTGGTCTGCACAGGGAGCGTTTTTTTCAACTAGCTCCCCTCGTGGACCAGTTCCCTGTGCTGCTGCCTCTGATACAGAGACAGCAGTGCGGGGTGACGGGGGGCTCCCCAGGAGTGGTGCCAGGAGCACACTGGCTGCCAACCCCGCCTCCGGGGACTATCGAATAGTCATGTAACCACAAAGATTTAATGCGGTTACGTGACTATTCCGTTACTCAATATCTAACATCCCTATTTTCATGTGCCTGTCACAACACGCGATATACCTCATGCAGTGTACCATGAGCCCCTAACAACAACTTTGTGGGTGAAACCAGACAATCGCTGTACTCTTGATTAAACTTAAACAGAAAAATAAAACTCTTACCCATGGATGAGCACTCTACATAAAGTAGATTCAAATGATGGTTCTACAACCTGGGAGCTGACGCAAAATAGTAATTCTTGGTCCCTTGGCAGTGAAAGGCCTGCCTAGTCAGTTACTTGTTTGACTCCCATCATTGTAGTATCTGAGCAGGTCGTCAGTTGCATTATAATACAATTCTCTGTTTCAAGAGCTTTAAAAATGTATCTCTAGGCGGGCGTTTGGCTTTGTGAGGATGTGAGCTCTGGATGGCATTGGACATTTAAAAACAATCTTTTCTAGTAGAAAACTCCGTTACAAGCCCCTCAGGAACAGAGGTTGTTCATAACTCCGAACAAAATGTTATGGTTGTTCTTTCAAAAGTTTACATTTAACACCCTGTTCTACTTGCTTTTTATTGTCACTGTGGCTGCCTGCTTGTGTGCTTCCAGATCCAAATGAGGTGTGTGGGTAATGGATCAGTTTGTAGCTTCGAAGTTCTACTGTACTGTATTCTAGAAGGCAAAGTAGAGGGTTAGGATTAGTATTTCGTTACTTTGGCAGTGGGTGAGAAGAAAACATGTTTTAGTTTTTTCATTGAGAAAGTGGCTGCTGCATGTGTTGGGTGCAACGAGGTTTACAGGATCGATCGGCAAAGGCTTTCCTTGCCGACCAATCTCCGTCTTGACTACAGCTTCGTGCCGACAAACAGCTGAGCCGGCACAACGTGATGGCCATTTTTATTCTAATGAAGCGGGGGATACTTGAATCCCCCGCTTCATTGACTATGTCAGTATGTCTAATTTACATTCCTTGGTTGGCAGAGGCATGTAGTCTAGACATACCCTCTGGCTACGTCTACACTGGCATGATTTTCCGGAAATGCTTATAACAGAAAAGTTTTCCGTTAAAAGCATTTTTGGAAAAACGCATCTAGATTGGCACAACGCTTTTCCCCAAAAGCACTTTTTGCGGAAAAGCGTCCGTGGCCAATCTAGACGAGCTTTTGCGCAAAAAAGCCCCGATCACCATTTTCGCAATCGGGGCTTTTTTGCGGAAAACAAATCTCAGCTGTCTACACTGGCCCTTTTGTGCAAAAGTTTTGCGCAAAAGGGACTTTTGCCCGAACAGGAGCAGCATAGTATTTCTGCAAAAAGCACTGATTTCTTACAATAGGAAGTCAGTGCTTTTGCGGAAATTCAAGCGGCCAGTGTAGACATCTGGCAAGTTTTCCCGGAAAAGCGGCTGACTTTCCGGAAGAACTGGCCAGTCTAGACACAGCCTCTGTATAGACCTGGCCTCAAAGTGCATCAAACAACTAAACTGGCAAAAGACAAATAATGCTACGTTTAAGCTTGTAATTCCCTTTCCTCTGCAAGTTGTTCAGAAACAAGAGTACTGTAGAGTTGCTTGCCATTTTTTAAAATCTGGTCTTGGGGACAATCTTGTTCTTTTCTCAATTGACTTACAAAAAAAGCAAAGAATTTGGATAATAAGCCTTCTGCTTTCATTTCACAGACCCTAACAAGGAGTCAGAGGCCAAAATCCTAGTGCCTCTGTTATTTTGTCTCCACACATTGCTCACATTGATACAAAGGTTTCTGGCATTTAACCATTTTGCAGGTTTATAGCCCTTCAGTGTGGGAGCTCAAGAGGAACACAGCATGCAATGGTTACTAGAACAGTTGCATTCAGAGCTTATTCCACAGAGCATTTACTTCGGTATGTTTTATGAGGGATGTTTTTACACCCACATGGACCAGAAAGATGCCCCCTCGCATGTCAATGCTTCAGCTTTTTCCAGTTCTCTTGGGCTACATTTAACTATACTGTATCTGCTTTATGCCTCGACCCTGGAAACACTGACTGTGTAGTGCTGCCTACTGTGAGGAGACCGTGGGATTACTCAATACTTATGATTCTGGCTGGCCAAAGGTTTGCCAGATCAGTCTCTAAAATTGCATAATCACCTAAGATGGTATGGCTCTTGCTTTTTCACATAAGAAAACTTTCAGACTTTACTCAATACTCGCAGGTAATGCTGATCCTGTTTGTATCATCGTACATGTTGTTGTCGTCGTCGTCATCAACAACCATGGGCTCAGCTCCCGTTGGTGACCAATGCCTCCCTTGCTATTTCCTTCCAACTTTCTCTGTCCGGTGTAGAGTGGCTTAGTTTCTGTAGACTAGCTCTGCACCAGTCTACTATATCATCTACCATTCTCTGTGGGGTCTGCCTCTCCTATTCGGACCATCCATTATGCCAAATCCCAGAGTCTTAGCTTTTCACTTATCATTCATTCTGCAAATATGCCCAAATTATCTTACGTGTAGTCACTCCTTTTGTTACGAAGGCTCTCCAAGCAGTTTTGAAACAGGAATAGCTTCATCAGTGAAATGCAACTGCCTCTGGCATGGAATGTGACCTTTCTTTATTGGCACATATTAACGTGACACGGGAAACAAGTCTTGTTCTGAAACTGCAAGGGAACTTAAATTGGCACCATATAATTACCTGAATTAGAATTTGGCAAGGATCCAAGAGTTACAGCCCTGGTGCTTGTGAAAAGTGATATGATGTCGGTGCTCTTCAGAGAGAATTACCCACGTGAGTTGGGTGTCTGAGTCCCAGATCATGGATTGTATTTAGGATAGTGATCCCTAGATGGCCTGATCAAAGCCAGCTAGTTAAGACTACAGAGTCTGTAACACAATGAGCTAGGTTCAAGGGCAATCAATTGTCCACCACCAGGAGACAACTTTATGTACACCTTTTAAGCTGCTGCATTTCTTTGTTACCTTGGAGTGTACTTTAATGTGGTTCTTGGTATATATGTTTCAGAAATACTTGACTCTGAACATAGCCTTCCAGAGTAGCACCTGCTGAAGAGAGGGTTGATTAAACATAAAGCAGGTTCCTTGAAACATTTACACGTTCCATAATTTAATTACCTTGCAGTGTGAATGACTCCCCATTCATATTCTTCAGTGTAATATGCGTGGTCTCTGAAGGTCACCCTAAAATAAATACCACCTTCAGCCCTGATCTGTCACTACTGTGAAACTAGTAACCTGGAAACAGTTGATAATATTTCTAGTTAATGTGCAACTTAAGTACTGATAACATTGTGAATACTGCAGCTTTCAAAGAAATGATTACCAGCCATTTGTTTTATAGACACGCTGGAGAATTACTGATCAGACTTAATTGACCATTCAGTAGGAAGGACTATGTTGTACTAGCAGCTAACTTCTGATACTTGTGACTGCCCTTTTCTGGTAGAATTTTTCCTTTTCTTGATTGTCTCTAGCAGCTGCATATCAAAGACTCATTAGGGGCTTTCAGGTTTGAAGGTGTCATTTCACAAACACAGTGCAGTCACAGGTAGTCTATAATACTGGACTCTGTATAGTGAGGAGAGGATCTGTCCTTCAAAAAATTCATGTGTAAAGATGGGTAACGCTTTTTTGGTATGAAGTAAAGCCAAGACAAAAACAAAGGCAGGTCTATGTTACAGCTGTTTGGTGATAGAGCTGTGTTGGCGAACCTTCCTAGCATGAATGCAGTTGTAGTGATGAGTCCTTTTGTTGGTATAGTTTGCTCTCCCCCAGTTCTCTGAACAAAATAAAGCTATACAATACTGCAAATGGACTTTTTTGCCAGCATGACTACACAAAGTCTCCGTCTACACTGGCAGCTTCTTACGCAAGAGCTCTTTTGCGGAAGAGTTCTTGTGCAAAAACTCTTCCACAAGAGAGCGTCTACATCCATGCCAGTGTAGATGCTCTCTTGCGCAAAAAAGCTCTGATGGCCATTTTAACCATAGGGGCTTCTTGTGCAAGAAATTCATGTTGCTTGTCTATGCTGGCCTCTTCTGGAAGAGCTCTTGCACAAGAGGGCTTCTTCCTGGGAGAGTGTCAAGTGTTCTCTCACAAGAAGCCCTGATTTTCTACAGTACGACGTCAGTTTACTTGCGCAAAAACGCGCGGCCAGTGTAGACAGGCGGCATGTTTTCGCGCAAGAACGTGCCATTGTAGACACAGCCTTAGGGTTTGCCATTAGAGCTGACTGTGAGTGTAATTCCCTTCTATTTCCCCTTCACCACTCCCAAGTTAACTATCCTGTTTACAGTTAAGTTTTTCTGGCAGTAAAGGAAAAAAATCTCTAAATTTGGGAGTCTAAAGCAGGGTTTGAGTACCTAGCTGCAAGCAAATGGGCCCCCATTTCAGTGGTGCTAAAAATTGATGAATGCTGTGGTTGCTCCATGCCCTCTGAGGATTTGTGCAGTTTTCAATTTTAGAATAGTTCAAGACAGGCCTGCTGGTGCCCTCAACCTTTTTGTATTGTGACTTTGAGCATTTATTGCAACTGTTGAGTAACTGAATACTGGGTCTACAAAAATATCACCTCAGAAAGAATGTCTGAAACACTGGCTCAACTTGCTTGGTATTGGATTGTGTGGTGTCTGACTATGCAGAAGTCAGTTGTATCTGAATACTGAAAACAAGGTCCTCTTCTATCCTCTAATACAGCCATGGAAATAAAGAAGTGTTTTCCTGCCGAGGGATCCTGCTGGCGGTTCGCTGGTTTTGTGACCGAGGACACCCAGATATCACAGTTTTTGTGCCATCCTGGAGAAAAGAACAGCCAAGACCGGATGTGCCTATCACAGGTGTGGGACTCTAAAGCCAAAACTAAGTATCTAAAGCGTCCTGTTGTTGTAGTTTAATAAGCCTGCTGAGGTCCTTTTGGCCAGTAAGCTCCTAAGGAGTGAATGGAAAATAAGAGCACTGGAAACTTAACCACACTCCTTACCAGTGAGCTTTCAAATCCTTAACCTCTCCTCTGAGCAAAAAATTGCTTAGATAAGGTGACAGAGTTTGAAGAATATAGGTAACTTTATTCCAAAATGCTTCCTAAGTCCTGAGATAAGAAATGTGAGTTACCTTTTCTTATCTCCAGGTTTTTTTTTTCCTCTGGTAAATGGCCATACAGCGCAGCGCACCTGTATGAAATGTTAACAGTCATGCAGTTAAGTAAAATACAGCAGGCTGGGGATCTGTTCAGATCGATCCAGTCAGTGATAATTATTGTTCTGAGTTTTCAAGCAGCTGAGGTTTGAAGTTTGTAAGTAAATAAATATTTCATCTTAGAAAAGAAATCCATGCATGCTCCAGAACACCATAAAAAGTCAGTCTGATCACTGCAATCAAAGGCATGCTTTGGCCTTGTCTTATCAGCCTGCCTGTCATAGGTGGAGGGAAAACATGGGGACTTGAGTTTCATTGTACAATAGCAGCATCTACAAGTTCCAGCTAAAATCGGGATCTCGCTAAGCTAGGTGCTGTAGAAACGCTTAAGTGGGGTCAATCCATGTGTCACAGACAGCACAGCTAAAGTGTGCAAGAAAAGGAAAGATTGTCTCCCATTTTGCAGATAGGGCCCAGAGAGACTGAGACTCCGTTACTTGCCTAGGATAACAGCAGTTACTCCTGGCTCTGCCACAGACTACGTCCCAGTTTTCAGAAGCCCAGTCTAGTGTCTTGGGCACAAGACAATCTCTCATGGCTCTTGGTCTGTGTTAAATTTAATTTGTCAGTGCCGCCTTTAACCCATCCAAGGAGAACTGAGTGGGGGAATTGAAAGGCTTCTAAAACTTGACAAGATTTTAACAGTAGCTGTCTGGGCAGGGCACAGAGTGAATGAAATGTGGAAGCAGGCCTTGATTCTGACACGAAGCCCCTTTGGAACCTACTAACTATGACCTAAGGCTCTGTGTGTTCACAGCTAGTTGCTTATTTCCCGTAAACCTTACACTTCTACTTCCTTGGCATCTGTTGCCTGTAAATGATGCCAGATTGTATGTGCTTGTTTGTGTTTATGCCACGTTTTCATGGTGGTTTTGTTCCAGATCAGCACATTCTCCGGGACCTCGAAAAGAAGAAAATTCTGGTCTTCACTCCTTCTAGGAGGGTTGGAGGCAAACGCGTCGTTTGTTACGATGACCGCTTCATTGTGAAACTGGCATATGAATCTGATGGAATCGTGGTTTCCAATGACACTTACCGCGACCTGCAGAATGAGCGTCCGGAATGGAAGAAGTTCATCGAGGAGCGCTTGCTGATGTATTCCTTCGTTAACGACAAGTACGTTCCCATTCCCCGGTCACATACAACAGTGCAGCAGTGAGAAGCCAAAAAAAACAAACTCCTCGCTGACTTGGCCCCCACCTGAGAAGCAGAAAGACATTCCCCATATTCACCTTACACAGCAGTGCCTGAGGGGAGCTAGTAGATTTTGTGTACTTCAGCCTTGTGCTAGGGTGGTGTCGGGGGAGGACTAGAGTACCAGTGTGGGGCAGCCCTGACCTATAGGGGCCAGATCCAGGCAAGCCTGGGGCTGCATTCGGCTCCCGAGCCTTAGGTTCCCCATCCCTCATGTAGAGACTGGAAAGGTGAGTGTCAAACCAAGGGTAAAGAAAATGATGTAAGGTGAGAATTCGGGAGGAAGTGACTCAGTGCTCTGTGTGTGAAATAGTTCCTCCCAAGGAGTAGCAAGTCACAGGGAGGGCCCAAAGACAAGGCCAGGAGTAGCTCTCCCTGTATTTGGCTAGCTTGGAACCGGGAGCGCCTCCCTGCTGACATTCCTGAGCCGGCCTGGCACTGGTACAAAAGACTTGCTTCCTCTGTTACAAATGGGAAAACGATCAGCTGGCCCAACATGCAGATAGCAGAGCACGGGACTGGCATGACCAGCAGAGCGGTGGAAGCCGCCTGCTCTGCTCCTGGGCCAAGAAGCCTCTTGCAACAATCTTGCACAAATCCTTTTCTGATTTACTTGAGAGTAGTCCTGATGAGCCACAGCCCTGTTCTGAATGGCTAACAGACGGGTCAGCCTGCCATGGGTCATTGAAAGAGGCTTTAAAAGGAAACTTCTCTTCCCAGTAAGGACCCTGGGTTGGGGAATTGTTGAAATCAGTGACTCCTTTTGGCTGTGCCAGGGCTTGTTTCTTGGCTGGCACACAGTTCATGGGTTTGGGTAACTTTGAATCCTCATGGAAGTGAGTGTGAAGTTCTGGCCCAGGAAAGTGGCTGGTCCTGACTGAGACTTACCTTGCTTTAGGTTTATGCCTCCGGATGACCCGCTAGGACGGCATGGCCCCAGCCTGGAGAACTTTCTGAGAAAGAAACCTGTGGTGCCAGAACACAAGAAGCAGCAGTGCCCTTACGGTAAGACTCACCTCGTCCGCTTGAGGGCTGCAGTGGCCGTGCCAAGTCAACTGAATGCCCTTGGTGAATTGCAGCAAGTGACCCAATGTTCTGCTTTTTCCTTTCAGGGAAGAAATGCACTTATGGGATTAAGTGTAAATTCTATCACCCCGAAAGGACCAACCAGCCGCAGCGCTCTGTAGCTGATGAACTACGGGCCAATGCAAGGCTGTCCCCAACCAGAAGTCCCACCAGCACAACCAAAGAGGAAAAAAAGAGCAGGAAACCTTCCCAGGCAGAGTCCGTGTGCTCTGTATCCATAGATGGCGACACAGGCTCCGTGCAGAAGGTCTCCATGGAGAGGAAAAGTTCAGCCCAAAAAGCAAAAGCTGGTGACATTTCCCACCTAACCAAGGGTGGTGTCTTGGGCAGTATCCCTTCTGTCAATGGCAGCTATCCATCTTCCAATTGGTACCAGCACCCTCCCCCTTCTCCCCATATGGACTCTCTCTCCTACATCTCTCAGGAGCATCTTGACTCAGGCATTGGATCCCTTGAGAACCAAATGTCTGAGATGTGGCCTTCCAGATCTACCAGTCACTGTGAGCATTCCCAGCCTGACCAGGGGGCAGCATGTGGCTGCAGCTGCAGCAGACAGAGACCTGCTTACCAACACGCTTCTAGTGCAGAGCAGGATCCCCTGGGCCACTATAAGCATAGCTCTCGCAAATCTGTCTCCCCTTGCAGTAGCTTCTTGCCATATAGTCCTGAGATGTCACACACAAGATCCTCTCACTCGTTCCCAAGCTATGGAGTGTCTCTGCATCCAGGAAGTGCTGGCCATTATAGTGTTCCCAGCGAGTACAACCCCCCAGCACCCCATCTTCGTGAATACTGGTCTGAGCCATATCAACTGCCTCCCCCTTCAACACAGCCTAGCAATATTCGAGACCATCACCCAATGCCTAGAGCCCCCGGACCAGCCTACAGTGACCACTGCCCGTGGCCCCTGCCAGACCGCTTTGCAGAGGAGCGAGCTAACGTGCACGTGAAATTGTGTGGCATATTCCACCCCCATTTAGTAGATGCTGTGATGAGCCGTTTCCCTCAGCTGTTGGATCCCCAAAGACTAGCTGCTGAAATACTGACCTACAAATCTCAGAACCCAGGTCTGTGAGGCAGAGGATGAGCCTATCCTGGTGGCCAGATGTGCCGGGAGTCCTGGGCGCAAGGTGTTTCCTGTGGACAGCACTGCACGGCTGGTATAACTGCCTCAATGAGGGTTTTCACCTTCCTCTGAAGCCCTAGGCCTAAGATGAAGGGAGAATAGTAGACTCAGTGGGCCAGTGGCCTATTCTGGTATGGCCAGTCCTAATACACCTCCTAAAATGGCTTGTTAGGAGACTGTTCCATACTCCCTGAGAGCATATTACCAGGAATCGGGGTGGGGGGTGGATTTTGCCTTTCTCTGGAGCACAGAGCAGGGATCCCCCTGTAGGACCAGGTGGGTATGTCCTGCTGATTGAGCTCCGGCAACTGTCCATTGGGTGCTTTGGACTCTTGTTCTTCCCATTAGCCTGCAGCATTCAAAGGCAACATAGCGCTGGAAGCGAAAGATCTAACGGTTCCACTTGAGCAAATGGGTTCTGTGCGGTTACTCTGGGGTGGCGCCTTTTGCAATAAGTGTCTGTGACTACATCTTGGAGAGGCGGGCCCCTTAGCTCCTAACTCAACGGCTTGCTTTGAACTCCCGTCGGTCAGCCTCAGGTTCCATTGCTGTGTGTGAGAAAAGCCAGGCGCTGAGGGGCCGTTTTTATTGCCTGGGCCTGCCTGCCCCAATGAGCTGGCCTTACGTGGGGCCACTGCGGTGAATAGTGGGAGCCCTGTAGCCAGCTACTTTGATCAATGAGGCTTCTCATTTGCCTGGAAGGGCCTGGCACCGCACCAGGCTGACGTGCGCCTCCTGCATTCTAGACTCCAGAGCCTCACTTCCTGCACGTCCCCCAAACTGGCCATTCTGTACCAAAGTTTAGAGAGAAGCCAACTTGTGCTGCTCTTCTAAAACACGGGTCTCCCCTTCTGCCCTGTTATGGACTCATTGGTGTAGTGCTGAGGAGAAGCCTCATATCCATGTGATGTACCTCCCCCTCTGACATCACCTCACTATCGCTGTGGGGATCACTGAAATGAAATGACTAAGGTCCCATTTGGACTTGCCAGTTGTGTACCTGCCCTGTAGCCACTACGGTTCTAAGGCTCCTCCAAATTCTTGGCAGTGTTAAGTATTTTCTCTTTGAAACTTGCCACTCTTTTGCCCTTTCACTCCTCTCTTGTTCTCTCCCCAGCCCTCCCCTTGAGATTCCCAAAATAACCGAAACTGTGGTTTCATTTATGACGGTAACGGTTGCCCCTCTTCATTCGGTTTTGGTTAAGGATCACTTCTGTGACTTGTACATACTGTAACTAATATTTTAAACAAATACTGTAGCAATTGATTCTGGTTCCAGCATTGCATTAGGGCACAGAGTAAGCTCTTGCACTTGCAGGCCAGAAGCAGTTGACTTTGTTGATACACATTGTATCTGTGTGGTGGTTTTTATTAATTATGTCCGTTTTGTGGTTAAACTAAGGTCCTTCTTAGCGGCAAACCATGAGAGGAAGAGCTGAGTACAGATGTGGCTGAGCACCCCACTCCTCTGTGGTGTGTTGGTGGCTATTCTGTTCCTGGTTCTTACCACTCACGTTTTCCAAAGGATGGCCGAGCCAAATTGGCACTATGTGCCATGGAAACCACAAGGACACAGAAACCCTGTATACCTGGTTAATTATGATACATTACAAAACTGTAATGTTTCATGTTAGTAAGCAAAATGCTTCTTAATCTTATGTAACCTGATAACTTTGCATATTTGTAAATTACAGGAAATATGTTTTTAGTGGTATTGTCCAGAAACTTGCTTGGCGATACTATTTTACTTAGTACTGTACTTAACTCAACCATTATGTGTTCTGGTGGTTTCTGGAAGAGTAAGTAGCAATATATACTTTGTCCTATTGCAGTTAAAGACTTTAGACACCTTTTTATACTTAAAGTTGACATTTATTGAAACTTGCTGTCTCACTTAGATTTCAAGCAGTCAGCTAGCCATATGGTGTGTGTCTCTTGGCAAACTAAGAACTTTATCCAAATAAAAATGGCTAGATTGAATGATTAGGCTGTTGGGGTCTCTTTTTGAAGGGTTTGGGGAAGCCTATTTTACAGCTTGGCTGCGATTTTTAAGGAATGTATCTCAATGTGCTGTTAAGGCACGGAACTGAGATTTGGGATTTCTGGATTCAATTCCCAACTCTGACTCGCTGGATGAGCTTGAGGAAAATCACTAAATATCTGTGAAATGGGCATGAGATTGCCCTGCCTGAGTCTGGTTGTAAGGCTGGAGACCATGGAAGTGTGTAGTGGTCCAGGGACATGCCACTCTGCTGGCATGTGGGTTTTGACCAGGCTGTGTGGGGAAAGCGTCTGCTGTAGTGTAAGTGACGAGGTACATGCTGTGTGTGTTCTTTTGGTAGGACTGAGAGACCTGCTCCTCCTCCCCCCTCGAATGTTGGACAGAACAGAAAAGCAAACTGTTTTCTGATCCGCTTGCTAATTAAAACTGAACACTCAAAGGGAAGAGACCTATGTTGGCTCTCTGCAGCTTTGTGATCTTCATGAAGAGCTGATCAGAGAGCTGATATCATTGAACACCAATGCCTAGTTTGTAATGCGTGGGCCCCGGCCCCTCTTTCAAACTTTTTTTTTAACTTTCACAAATGAAGCAGCAAGTCCAGAGGTGCCAAGCTTCCAGAAGCGGGGAGGTTAGCCGTGACAAGCCCTGGCACACACTAAGCACTGTCTAGCATTGTATTACACAAGCTCTTGTGTAAATAGCTGTGTCATAACACCTTTCTGTAAGTAAGGCTCTTGGCATGGGCCTTTGTTTATGAGCTTAGGAGGAAGTCTACTAAGAATTTAACATTCAAATTTCTCCAGGGGAATCCTTCCCCTTGCAGCCCCACCCTCTATAGTGCAGAACAGCATATTCTTATCTCACTTATGTGAATGACTTCATGCTCTGATATTCAAAGAAGTGGTCACTTGATCTAGTATAGAAAGGCAGCTCTTTCCAGTGAACATGGGGGGGAAAAACCCCTTCCCTCAACAGAAGGAAAAGTGGTATCTCCCTTGAAGGTGGTAGATGTATCTGTGTTCTAATGAGTCTGAGAGCAGTGGCAGAGAAGAATTGGGAGGGGGACTCAGAAGGTCTGGGTTTTTTCCTTGCTTGGCCTCCGAACTTAGCAACGGCAGGCAGTGCACCTCAAAGTAAAACTCTGATTTCAAACCAAAAGCGTCAGCCAGGTTGGAAACATTGCACCATTACACATGCAGTCGGCGCCGCTAGTGCCGATGGACAGAACAAGGTGCTGCAATCTAACCATCTGTGGTTTTCCTCTGCTTTACAGAGTGAACGGACTTAGACAAAGTGGAGTGGCCCAAAAAGGGGGCAAATGCAGTTGAGATTTGGGGCTGAATTAAATACCCCTCTACCTAGTAGTTATGGGCTGAGAGAGCGCAAATCTCTAGTGGTGATCCTGAAATTCACGTACAGCTGCTGCTTGAAAGTTAAGCCATCATTGCCCTCACAAGAGAACTTTTAAAACGCTTGTAGGAATGGACGGATGTCTCTCAAAAGGAAATGCCTCCTTGTATCAAAATAAAAGCTCTCCCTTTCTAAGTCACTCATATTCATATACTGGAATCAAGCCAAGAACTGTAGCGTTAGACACGTTGGCAGACACATCCACGGTATCTGTGCCGAAGTCCCCAGGTTAGTTAATGTAACTTGACAGAGAAGGAAGCTGTAGGTGTTGTGTTCAGCTGTGATTTTGACAGAGCTTGGTCGTGCTCAGCACTGGACAACCTAAGCTAATGACTGGGCTGTGTGTGTGACCCTCTTCCATCTCTGTGGGCTGCAAAGATTGTCATAACCAAGATGGTCTCCCAGGATAGCGTAGTTCTAACTCTGCTTGCGTCCCTAGAATCTGCGTGCTGATGGAACGGTCGCAGCACTTTGATCAGCTGCCAGGGGAGCGCTCGGCTCTCTGGCAGCGTTGTGCGCGATCAACACGCACCTCACTTCACGTACCTGTCACGTAGCTAATACGGGTAAAACATTTTTTCCCCCCACATGGAAGGAGACCAGCGACATCTGGCAACCCAGTCATGGGCAATGTGAAACAAAATGTCTCATGGGCCGCACGCATGCAGGTTGCCCACCCCTGATCTTGCCTCTGTTTCTACAGCAGACTTTGTAGCCATAGACTTTGGGTCTCAACTACAGAACCCTCCCTCCTAAACAGTATTTAGGAGCCCAAATGCAGCAAGGGACACAGGGACAGTGTCTACTGCCAATCTGTCCCCTGCCAGTCATGCAGCAATCTGCGCTTCTGAGCGCTGGTGTTGCTTTGCTGTTCTCTGGCATCCGGGGCATACCCAGGTATCTGTGACTCAACACGGGGCTGCTGGTGAAGTGACCCCATTCGTTTTCTGTTGGATTCAGATGGCATTTCTCCAGTTGTTTAGAAGGAAATGGCAGCATCTATCTGAGTTGCTACATGGACTGGTTCAGGCCCATCGCTCAAAACAACCTGCCCCGTGTCTTCCTTCCAAGCCCCTCCAAGCTGGCTGTAGCACAGTCTGCTGCTGTGGAATTTTTGAAAAACGGCTTATAGGTCACCACTTCCTTTTGGGTACCCCAGCGTAGACAGAACCCAGTGAGAGCTTTGTGAGCACCGTGCATCTGCATCCTATTTCTTCCCTCTAAATAGGTTATATCCTCTTTCGCAATGTGCAGGTCTGCTGGGGAGGGGTGGAGGAGCCCACTCGCGTGCTGGTGAAATCCGTGTTGTGCCTCGGCTGGGATGTGGCTGGCCTAGTCTGGGGCATATCTCGGCAGTAGGAATGTTAAAATGCGTTTATTTTGGTAAATGTGTAACTGCTGAAAATGTGGGTGGTTACATGTGTAGGGGGAGGTGGTTGTGGGAGCTGGTGCTGGCAGGAAGCCTGCTTAAAAGCCAGCTCCTGCCTGCTCTTCCCCCGCTGCTGCCTCTGTATCAGAGGCAGAAGCACAAGGAGGGGGAGGGAGGCCTGTGTGTAACCATGAAGGTTAACAAATGAGCCCAGGATTGTCGGTTACCTGCTTGGATACATCCCTACTCGGTAAGTGAGCAGATATATTCAGCCCTAAAGCTTCTGTTTGAGTGAGGGTCCCACCCGTTACTATCATGCATGGGGAAAATGTGAGGCGTTTCTGCCTTGCCGCTGGGAAGCACGCGAGGGAAGTCTTGTTACAGGGCAAGTCTGCATGGGGCAGTAGACTCCTCCAGGGCAAGAGTGGAAGAGCAAGGACGCTCCTGTCATCTCCCAGTGCAACTTTCTACCTGGAAGCAGAGGCCGGAGGAAGCTGATGCAGCATCTCTGAGCCCTGCAGAACGAGTCCAAGCTGACCTTCAAGTTATCTGTCCTGTCCCTCTTCTAAACTGCTCTTTCCTCTACCCTACTGCGGCATTTGTCGCTACGCTTTCTCTTGCTCCTGCTTGTCTCCCCGGCCATCCAGCCCCCTCCAGTCTCTGAGTTGGCTAGGCTCAGGTCTGCACATCCCAAAAGACATGGCAGCAATGGAAGGGGGCTAGAGATGGCTGACCAACTAGAGTCCTGGCCAGACTCTGGGGTGTGGTGAGACCGAAACGTCCACTCAACCACGCTGCCTCCTGATTAGAGGGAAGAGGTTGCTTCCCCTTTACGCTGGGCACCAGCCCAGATCAATTTCTCGTTTGAACATCAGCTGGCAGGGGAGGGAGGAGGAGTTTGATGTTCCAAGTGTCTAGATGTTTGCTTTGTTTTAAATGTTAGTCTCAATGCAGGAGGGGGAGACAAGGCCTGGGCAGGAAGCGCAGACTCGAAAGGCAAATCCGAGAGAGGTTCTGTGGCCAGTGTGTCAGGCTGATCCTCAGGCTGCAATGAGCCCTAGGGGAGGGGGGATATATCCACACTCCTGTCTCAGCTTAGCAGGGCTTCAGCAAAACGCCAGGCGGGGCAGGCTGCTTCTCAGAATGGGTGAAATCCCAGCCAGCTGTCTGCACTGGGTCTGTCCCTGCTTTCCTGCAGCACTGACCTGCTCCTTAGCAACCTTGGTCGCTTTCCTTCTGCCAAGATGCTAAGGGCAGAAGACCATTCTGGTCATCCAGTGTGACCCCCACTGTAGCCCAGTGGGAGAACATCCCCTCCAGTAATGCTGAGCTTTTAGAAAAATTGCCAGTGATGGAGACTCCACCATCACTAAGTTGTTCCGGCGGTGAATTACTCCTGCCATTAAACAAGAATGCCTCGTTTCCAGAATTGGACACGGGATTCCGCCAACAGTGCTACTGACGAGGTAAGACAGAGAGTTTCCCCTGTTTACACATCACAGGATCCCATGAGCTCTTCTGGCCACAGTGAGAGCTCATGTTCAGCTGTTCGTTCACCACAATCCTCAAACCTGTCCGAGAGTCCCTGCTTCCCAGGGCAGAATCTTCTCCCCCTCCCGCCCCAGCTTGTAAGTTCCGCCAACATTCAGTGTGTGCATTTACACCTAGCTATGTTAAAACCTAGTGCTTGCTTGGGCCCTGATCAGCAAGCAATGAAGATTGTCTGAACCTGCCACCTGCCCATTTGAATCCTAGGGCTGGAAGAGACCTCAGCAGGTCAGTGAGTTCAACCTCCTGCTCAAAGAAGGACCAATCCTAATTAAATCAACCCAGCCAGGGCTTTGTCAAGCTGAGACTTAAAAACTGGAGATTCCACCACCTCGCTAAGCCTGCTTGTTTACCACTCCCCCAATGTTCTTGTGACATCTGCAGCTTTTCTCAGTGAGGATTTTCATGTTGTCTGCAAGGCCATTGATTAAAAACGTTAAGGCCACGCCGAGAACCTAACCTGGCAGAAACCCACTGGAGAGACAATGGTGGTTTCCCGTTTACGCTTACAACGGCAGTCCTGTCAACTTTCAGTCTGTTTAATGTGAGCCAAGTGAGCTTCCACTGTTTCTAGTTTTTTTTAATCAGAGTTGTGCAGTACCAAGTTAAACGCCTTCCAAAAGGGACAGGTTCATTATGTCAATGCCATT